CCGAACTACATTGACCAGTAGCTTGCCATGTTCGAGATGAAGTGCAAGGCGTGTCAGAACTTTGAACTGCTGCCGTTGGGGACCGCAGCCGTGTCCGATGATCAACCCCATGCTGCGGTCGGTGAATGACGTGCAGCTAAACCAACGCCATTTCCTGGAATAATAGCTCATCATAATGCAAATCTTATGGAAATTGAAGTTGCTAATCAGTTTTTAATATCTGGGAATTTGCTATTTGCTATTTTTGCTCTTCTGTTTTTGTGTTTACGTTCTCGTCAGCTGATACGGCAAACATCTGTTATTATTGTTCTCTCTGATTATCGCTATCTCAGCCATACAAGGTGTATACCCTCGCGGATTACGCATGGATAGTCGGGTATTCTTAACTTCTTTTAAATTATTTGCCATTATATATTTTTAAATTTGTTTTTCCCTTTGCTTCATTATGCAAAATTAAACGAATTTATCACAAAGCTTTAGAGTGACCATACACAAACATTTTTTTATGCCATTTTATTTTGTATGTCTATCGAGCTCGAATATATCGATATTATTTTTAGGCCAAGGCTAAATTAGTGCCAATTAAAGTGAATGAATGAGATCTTGCAAATATACCAATGCTTCAATTAGACCTTTTATTATGTACTCCAATCCTTGTGTGATTTCCTTGCCATTCCTTTTCGTCTATCGATAGTTATAAGAATCGAAGCTTTTTAACTTGCTTTGCATAACAAATTGATATTTTACAGGGCATTTCATGGTCGGTTAATAGAACAATGGAATAAACACTCTTGGGGACATTGTTATAAAACAGATTGTACACATATGCATTTCGTGATAAAGTCTAATTATATTTAGTACACTTGACCGCAAGTCCACAGATGAAAAATGTATACAACTATTTATTTACATTCGATGGAGAGTTGTTAAAATGGTAAGTGCGGGCTTTTTAAATAGTTAGTTGCACTGGCTCTGTGCATATGGCAAAATTCAACGATTAATTATACAATTCAAAGTGGCCATCGAACAACCATATGCAAGTGCACTCACACATAGATAACTGTGAAATTTAAATGCAATAGATTGAAGTGATAGATAAATAACGTATACGTAACGAGCATGAGGAGTGTTGAAAAATGACAAATTTTTCAAAATATTAAAAAACCTATTTACACTTGATAGACTATATTTATATAAACAAATTTCAATTAACATTAAAAAAGAACACAATACAAATTTGCACATGTACACACATACTTAGAAAAAGGATAGTTTAACAAATTAATTAATTGATCATATTAAATGAAAACTATATATACATTTACTCAGTTTCTATAATCCTCATCCTTTATAGAGTATACAACAATGTTGCTCGGATTGTTGTTGTTTGCTTTGCTAGTGGCTTGTCTGCGCTATGTGCTGCAGTTGATCGACAGAGATTGGAGGCACCGTCAGCTGCTGCAGCATGTGGCGCCCAATGTGTCCCGCATACCGGTGATAGGAGGCATCTTGCAAATGCGCAGCTTCCAGCCGGACAGTGAGTATGAAGCCGGCTGCTGATGTGGCCCTGTGCTAATGATGATCCTCGATGTCGCTTAGATCTGCACGAGAAGTTTGCGGAGTATGTGCGGCGTTACGGGCGCAGCTTTGTGGCCACCACGTTTGGGCGTATGGTGCTGGTCACCGCAGATCCGAAGCATGTGGACGCGTTGCTCTTGAGCAAGCATCATCTGCGCAAGAGCATCGTCTATGGCGCACTGGGTGGCTGGCTGGGCAATGGTCTGCTGCTCAGTCGGGGCGAGCACTGGCATGCCATGCGCAAGATAATCACGCCCTCGTTCCACTTCAGCATACTGGAGCAATACGTCAAGATCTTTGACAGCCAGTGCAATGTCCTGGTCGGCAAGCTGAAGCCGCTGGCCGCAGTGGGCAGCGAGAGCCCGCAAGCCTTCAACATATATCCCTATATGTGCCTGACGGCCCTGGACATCATCAGCGAGGCGGCCATGGGCGTCAGTCTGGATGCGCAGGAGGATGTGGAGGCACCGGTGGTGCAGGCCGTCAAGGAGTAAGCGACATCAATCAATCGAGGCTTGGTAATTATTCTTCTTTGCCGGCAGCGTGACCAACATTTTGGCGACTCGTTTCATGCGACCGCATCTGCTGCCGCCGCTGTTCTTCCGCCTGCTCTGGCCCAGTGGCTATCGCAAGCAGCGGATGGGCATCAAGTGCCTGCACGACTTCACCGACGAGATCATCAAGCGCCGCTGCCAGCTGCTGCACACGGAGCAGCAGGGAACGGCTGCTCTGCTGGATACATTGCTGCAGGCACGTTTGGATGGCGCACCCCTCACAGATGCCCAGATCCGCGACGAGGTGAGCACGTTCATCTTTGCGGGTCACGATACGACCACATCCGCGGCGTCCTTTTGCCTGTATCTGCTGTCGCGGCATGCGGCAGTGCAGCAGCGTTTGTACGAGGAGATTCACTCACACTATGGCACGGCCATGGATCGGCCCGTCGTCCATGCTGACTTTGCTGAGCTGCCCTATTTGCACTGCGTGATCAAGGAGTCGCTGCGCCTCTATCCGCCCATTCCAGCTGTAGGTCGTTGTCTGGAAAATGACCTGACATTAGGTTGGTACACCTAAAACTATACATATATATATTTTGTATTTTAATTTGCGTTTAACGGCAGCTGGCACGGTCGAAAGTGGCGGGGCACAGGTGCCAGCCGGCACAAATGTCCTTGTGCTGCTTTGGCAGCTGCAGCGCGATGCGGAACTGTACGCAGAGCCCTTGCGCTTCTGGCCAGAGAGGCATCTGGATAACAGAATGTCCGACTCGGGATCTGGCAAATGCACCACCAGCTATATACCCTTCAGTGCAGGTCCGCGCAATTGCATCGGCCAGCGATTTGCTCTGCTCGAACTGAAGACAATTGTGATCAAACTGCTGCGACACTTTGAGCTGCTGCCATTGGGCGCGGATGTGAAGCCTTCAATTAAAATTGTTTTGCGCTCAGCCACGGGTGTTAATCTGGGTCTAAAAATGCGTGCTTGAATGGTATTTGCACTAAACTCTATATGAAAATTATTTAAAATTGATTACGTTGCAGCGATAAGTGCTGTTGACAACTATCGATAAGTATGGCAACGATAAATTAATTGCAATGCCAGTGGAATTCAAAATTGAACCAATCTGTTCCCAGGCAAAGTATTTTCCTCTACCATAAATGTGAAACGGTTTCCACACAAAATGTTTATTTATCTTCATTGGTTTTTATATTTGTATTTATATTATTTAACTATCATCGGCATGCAAATGCATCGCCAGCTGCAATTGAGCTGTAGCAGAGTGGCAGCTGCAGCACTTGTGGCGTTGCCAACTCTATTCAAAAATAACAAAACTGTTCCCATTTTTAGTTAAGTGCTGCTTGCAAAAAAAAATGTATATTTTGCATATATAAGTTAAAGCACGGGCAAAATTGTATTTTTTGTGTTATTATTTATTAATTTCTTTGTTTTGTTTTCGTATGTTTATTTTAATTTTTGTGGCGTTTAATAAACACAAGTATTTACCATTTTGTAGATAGTTAACTTGTTTTGCCCTAAAAGTGTTCACACGTGTCCGTAACATATAATGGATCTACTTAGCTATAAATTATAATGCACACGAGCATATATACATACATATATCGATCTTTATATATATTCATAAATTTATATATAGGTACACAAGTTTATTTCACTATTCATTTAGCCTAATAGTAAATTTATTAAAAAAAAAAAAAAAGAAATATAATTAGATTTAGAGATAGAAAAAAAAACGAAAAGCAAAAAATGTTATAAAACAAATGCATAACAAACATTTAACAATTGTGTTTACTTATTCTATACATGTGTATATAACATTAAGTTACATTTTGTAAGTGTAAATATAAATATATATATGTATATATTGTGTACACAGATACACACACATATATATGTATATGTATATATTGTTGTAAATTGTACTTGGCGCCTGTTTCATTGTTGCCAAACTTAACAACATTTGAGGTTATGTATGAACAAACAAAAAACCGTTATTGAATTCCGTTTTGCGCTCCAAACATTTTCACAGTGTAAGACTAAAACATTTATTATTTATTCACCTATGCACATAACAAAAACTTTAAACTTATTTAGATTTCTTTTTTTTGGGCTTTTTCTTTTGTAATCCTTTTTTTTTTTTTTGTTTTTTTTTTTTTTGAGGCTCGAGATTGGCATAGAGAAGTAAATATTGGATGTGCTATGTAGGCTTCTTCTCTATTGTGCTATCTCCCTCTATTTCTCATTCTCGCTCTCTATTGTAGAGTATAAAACATTTAAAACATTTATGCATATATTTTTATATTGTATATATGTATGTATGTATATATAAGTAATATTCATGGTTGGTAAAACGTAAATGTTCATTTAATTAGACCAATTTAAGTATGATTACATGCATATAGTTATGTGTATACATACATACATACATGTATTACTATATATACATACGTATATATTATTATAGTATGCTAATGCTAAAATTAATTGGTAACAGTCTTTTATCACGTTTAGTTTGTAGTTTATCTCTATATGCATATACAGACACATATATAAAGACATTCATATATATGCACATATATATATATACTATAAAATTGTATAGCTAATAATTGTTTTGTGTGTGTTTGTGTGTGTGTGTGTCGGTGTGACTATAAATTTACTTTAAATTAACAAACACTTTCTTGCACTATATATTTCTTTTAACTATTTACTTTAGTGACGCCTACATACAAATTACATTTATATATATATATATATAGAAAAAAAAACACACACACACATTTATGTAAAAAAAAAAAAATATTATAGTCAAAGTTATCAATTATTAAAATAAGAACAAACAAAAAGTAAGAACAAATCTGCCGCTGGGCGAGTCCAGGACCCTTTTCTTTGCTAAAATAGGTTTTTGTTGCATGCTCACTCATTAGTTCGATTCCACTTATAGCTGTATATATCTATATATATATATATATATATATATAGCATTAAAGATCCCTATACGCATTTTCATTGTAAATAGGTTTGTGTTAGCACTTTAAAGTACATCAATTTGCCTTTGTTTTTACCCCTGCAGAGTGACTCTCTCTATCTCTCTCTCTCTCTCTATGTATAGATATATATATACGATCTATATGTGCAGCCTGTTTGCCAAACTCAGTTGAGGCTGCATTTAATTGTCTTCAAATATGTCTATATATATATATGATCAACAGAGACTCTGGCCATCTGTCCACAAGGGTATTCAAGCTTCGGTGGGCCAAAGAAAGCATTTTCTTCTAGCTAGTTTGTAACACTTGTAAGAGTTGCTTGCCTTTGCCTTTGCCTTTGCCCCGGAGTAAAGCTTCAACTCGCTTGCGCTGCTTATCACATCAGCTGAAACCCTCAATTTGTATACACACACATAAATGTATGTATGTATGTAGGTATATGTATATAGGTATATCTATATGGGTATGGCCCCGTTTAGGGTATGCCGCTGCTGGTGCTGCCCTGGCTATCGGTCTCCGTTTTGGTGGCATTCGCCTTGCTCTGCAGCTGCTCCTCGTATTCGCTCTTGATGTTCACGTAGAGTTTGCTCTGCTTCTGGTGCTCCTCCTGTTGGGGTACAAAGAACGGAGCTTAGCTAGCCGCACGCTTGATTGGGGTCAGCCACTTACCAGGATCTCATCGATGCGCTGATTGGCATGCGGCAGCTCGTATCGATTGCTCTGATCACGCAGCTGGGCAGCCACGTTCAGCTGCTGGTGCAGGTTGCGTTCGATCTGCTCCAGGGAATTGCTCAGAACGTGCTCAATCTCTGCTGGAAGCAAAAATGAGAAATGTTATGTTGTCTATATAAACTCGATGCCCATTCGTGCTCACCTGTGCTCGGCATGAAGCGCCGCTTGGCCAGCTTAATGTCCGCCTCCAGGGCATCGGCTGGGCCAGCTGCGTTCGGTGCGCCGCTGCTGCTGCGCTTGAGCGGCGCAGATGTGCCGCTGATGACCGTTTCGGGCGTGAGCGGGCCCTGGCAGTAGTCACAGTCGCCCTCGCCCAGGCAGCTGCAAGTGCAGCTGTCGAGCAGCGTCGACGTCGCGCCGGTCTTGGAGCTGGGCGACTTGGTCGCCGTTGCGGCCTGAAGGCCACGCAAATGCTTGGCCGCTGTCACATTGACCACACTGACGCTTTTCGATATGGAGGACTTGACCGACGCCGTCTCGGGCGGCACTAGCGCCAGTGGAGGGGTCTTCGAGCTGCCCACGCTATGGCCCGAACCCAGACGTGTCTGTGAGATGGAGCCGGCATCGTGGAAGCTATGCTGTGAATGTCCATGACGATGTTGATGATGGTGCTGCTGTTGCTGCTGGGAGTCTGGATAGCTCAAGGCGGCCAGGCTCGCCAGGCCGTCTTCCCCATCATCCTCGTCGACCTCGTCCCCATCATCGTTGGCATCGTCATCATCATCGTCTGCGTCCAGCTGCTCGCCGTTCTGTTCCGCTTGGCTGCTCTGCAGATTCTGTATCAGGCAGAGCACCGCCTTCTCCAGCTGCGCTGGATGCTCGGATGCGGGCACATCGACGGTCGACTGTGGAATTTGTGTATTGATGATGACCGAGAATTTCTTCTTCATCTCCTGCACACGTCGCTTGCCCTCCTCGTCGTCCAGCAGCGTGTTGACGCAGACGAACGAATGCACCTTGTTCGTCTCCTTGTCGATCTCCAGATACCCTTTGGATTGCAGATAAATGATGTTGCCGTTGCGCGTGAAGAGCCGATACGTTGACTCGCCATACGAGCTGTTGCAGTCGTACACTGAAAGAAATCGCCAATGAAATCAAAGTGCCCAGTAGAACAAACACACGCCCACTCACTCTGCCGCAGCGCCACAATCACCCAGCGAACATCGTCGTTGTGCATGAAGGTGAAGGGATTCAGATTGCGCACCTCATCCGTCATATAGCCGGCCACAATGCCGATCCTTTGATCGCAATCTATAATGCGGCCATCGATCAAATGCCGTGTGCGATACTCCAGCGTGTTCGCATCAAACAGTCGATTCACGATCTTTGGTGGCCGAATAATGCGCGCACAAGCTGTCAGCACCTGCAGAGCGAACGAAATGCATTAAACGAATATATTAATATACAATGTATAAACTATATTGTGCAGGACTTATCACTTCATTTGCTGTTATGCATTTGTTTTTCATTTTCTCTGTTCAACATTAACTAAATAGCTCAATAGAACCATTGTCCCGGCTCAACAGTTCATTTGAACTTAACGCTCGCCAACAGCTGCACAACCGCTCTCAAACAGTTGAGCCAAACGTCTCGCTCATAACCGTTTAACCGTTTAAAAAGCTGAGCCGATGGCAGCTTTTATAACCGATTTAGCTGAGTCGTTCGTGAACGATCAACGTAGCGTTCGTAGCGGTTGGATTTCTAATTAATTTATGAACAGTTGAACTTATTTATAACCGTTTGACCAACTGAGCAAAGAGCGCTCATAGAACATTGTAATTCACAGAACATTGTAGTTCAGCAGTTCATTTGAATAGCTCATTCAATCAAACAGATTATTGCTTGCTTATGCATTTGCATACTCACACATACATACATGTGTATGTACATATGTATCTAAGTATATGCACATAAATATTAGCGAATATCTGGCCACTTACAATATCGTTGCCGCTAATTGTGTGTAGCGGTATGGCATCGTCACGGCCACGCGTGCGTCTTATTAGCTGCAGGCTGGAGCTGAACGTATTGGAGCGTACGCCGCGTGGTGCCTCGTCGCTGCGCCGGAAGCAGCCGTCGATTTTGACCACCTCATAGGCGGTCGGTTCTGAGCGGGGGCCAGCGCGCGCCAAACTGCGAGAAATACAAAATAAATAGAAAGAAATATGAAATCATTAAAATGCGATCGAAATATATACATTTATGTGTCGAATATAATATTTGAATAGATTTTAAGGGTACAAAAAGTACTGCCAATTGGAGCGGCCAACTGTCTATTGGAAAAAGTGCTGCCAATCAACTATAAAAAACCCTTACCGTACACGAAAGCTGCGTCGATCATCGCGCAGCTTGCGATCTATGTAATCCTCCTCGGATTTGCTGCGCTGTCGCGGCTCGCCGTCGGCATCCGTCGGCTCCGCATGCGCATCGAAGAGATTCTCGAGCTCGGTGGGTATGAGCTGTTGCTTGAGCATTTCATGGTCCTCGGGGTGTGTTATCTGCAGTATGCTTTGGCCATACAGATCCGTCTGGCAATGTCCCAAATGCTGTTCGATGCTCGACGATATTAGCACGATCTGGCCGTGGCAGGTGAGCGTGAGAAAGAAGCTATCCAGCATGCCCATCAGTGTGTCTGTCACCTGCGGCCGCTGTTGATGCAGCGTTTTGCCAAAAACTAATTGCAAAAGCGTAAAACAAACAAAAATAATTCATAAATAATATTATTTAGATGTTTATGTTTGCTCATCACAAGCGTAACGGCTTTCACGGCAGTCTGGCAGCACTAAGCGTGCAACTTTCGTTAAGCACGAAAGAGTGGAGAATTTGAAAATGTTCAGCTCGTTAAAAGCAAAAGAGTTGCCAGACTGCACGAAACTGATATGGAAACTATGGGAAATATCAATTGAAGTAAAATATTATTTATTGACTTCATAGAGTGCGCACTTACTGTATATATGTATATATACATACATATGTATGTATGTATATTTATGCACATCTTATTATGCATATATGCATGCATGCATAGTGCACTTACCGTATTTGAGGCGAAGTCCGTGCGCTGCGAAACGTAGCACCGCCGTCTTGTCCACCCGTCGTGGTGACTCGGCCACATGGGCCACCATGGTGGAGAGCTCCTGTATGGAGCCATTCAGTTTGTCTCTTCGATTCTTTTCCGCCCGGTTGCGTGCCTCACGCCCGCTGCAACAATGAAGACAGCAGTTAAGTGCAGGGATTAGGTTGTGAATAATATACCGTTTGCAATACACTTAAATCAATAGATATGAGACGCAATAAAAAAGGGTCGACTGATTGGGCGGGTGTAGCGTGGGGTATGGGGCGCTGTTCAACAGCCAGACATAGCTAATGTAATTGTTTGTTCTGTCGTACATACATACAAACATACACTCATATAGCGCATGACACGGCAGTCTAGGCGCACACACACACACACACATACACACATACACAGATAAACGCAGACATGACTTAACGCTGCTGCAGCGGAATGTGGGAATGACAAACAGCTCAATAGCTGTCAATAATAATCAGCTGAAATGGGCCTCGCCAATGCAGCTGACGCCGCTGTCGACGTCGCCGTCGGCGTCACTGTTAACGTCAGCGAGTCAACCGTTAAGCCGAACATGGCGCGAACTTCCTTTTGCCTCATATTACGCCCACGCCGCGCTCAAGCACAGTTTCATTTGCTAAGCGATCATTTCAGCTTGCTCTCACTCTCAATTTCGCTCTGGCTTTGGCTCTCACGTGTTCGCTCTCCCACACACACACTCTCTCTCTCTCTCTTTCTTTGGCATTGCCTATTCGGCACCGGCGGCTTCCAGGCAATTTATGAGTAACTCATATGGGAATATGAGCACTTTAAGTTCGATTAGCAATGGCTGCCGTAATAGATGTTGTTGCTTCTGTTGTTGTTGTTGTTGCTATTGCCATCCCCGTCCACTGATGTAATTTATTTTAAAACGCAATTGAAAAAGAAAAAAAAAATAAGAATAATGCAAGTTCGCAATAGGCGCACAAAGCACCGAGTGCGAAATGAAAGAAGCAACTGCAATAGCAACAACAACAAACAAACAACAAGCAAAACGCAAACAACAATATCAAGCACATGCAAAATTGAAAAGGCGCAAAAACGATGTATCCAACTATGTAACGAATTTATTTACACGCACACAGACACAAGCACAAGCAAGCACTCTCTCACACTCACACACACACACGTACTTATGCCAGCTGCAGCTAAATGTCTTCAATTACCCTGCACTTTGAGCTCTAGATTCTGCTGGGTATACAGTTTTGTGTGAATATCGTAAACTAATTGTTTATTATCGTTCAAGTTTTGGAATAAATAAATACGAACATCTATAAATAAGTCAATGGGAAACGAGGCGTGGTAATTTTTAATAAGCTCGTCAGCCAATGCAAAACATAAATAAATAATGGCCTGCAGGCAGGCGATAGAGTCGAACGAATTAGATTCCCAAATGGATGATACTAATGCATTTTCATGACAGTATATGTATGTATAAACCGAGTGAAGTCTAAACAAATGATATACGATAAGCGTATTATGCAAACAAATAGTGCCTGCACTTGGGTCGCATGGCACAGGGTATCCTAGATGTACAGATAGCAAGCGTGCATATATACAATTGTACATACACAAATACATACATATATATATACATATATATGAAGATGTGCACACGCAAATGGCTGCCAAATGCAACAATGTTGCAAAATTAAACGCAAATATCAATTAACAGCTAACACTTAACGGAATACCCTAGCCAAGAGGCTTCGAAGTGTACGCCCTGTGCCAGCGCAGCGATGACAGGGTGTCTACAGAAGAGGCTGTAAGCGGTTGGGCTTCCAATATGCAAACGGCTAACGGCAGAGTTATAGAGCGGGAGAGCGTGAGCGAGAGAGCGGAAGAGTGGAGAAGGGATTGAAAGAGAGTGTGTGTGTGTGTGAGCTTGCTTGAGTGAGGTGCTGAGGGCATGGTGTTCTAAGCGTTGCCCTTGAGACGTTCACTTTGTTTTCAATGGGCCAGACCAAGTGGCCAAACGAGGAAGTGCAAGGTCTTGACGCCACTCGACGCGCCAACTTTGCGGCTGATTGTGAGTGCGGTCTGTATCAATGCTCACATAAATACACATATTTACACACACACACATATACACATACATATGCATGTAATAAGCATGTGCATAAGTATGTATGCGTAGTGCATTTGTTTATTTAACATGTTGCATTTGCAGTTACTCAACTCGCCGCTCTTACAGCCAGCGTCCCGTTACACTCTGGCGCAGCCTGTTGCTTGCACTCTCCCTCTCTCGCTCTTTCATGCCGGGCTTTATTGGACTGTTCACGTCGCCCGTCTCGGCTATTTGTTTTGAATGCGCAACAATGTAACGGCAGTGCACTGTGATAGGCGGCGCCGTCGGCGTCGACGACGCGTCGTCTCGATTACTGTACTTGCCATGCATTTAGCTCGCTCGCTCACTCACTCACACACACACACACTAGCTTGCTAGCTCGCTCGCTCACGCTTCCTCTCTGTTTCTCACTCTTGCACATTATCGTAGCCGTGACCTTGGCGCCGTGCAGAAACAAACTGAAAATGCAATCGAACGGATTTCTTGATGCCGAATGCAAATATCGACTGCTTAATACCCTGTAATGCTCAATTGCCAATGTGTGGAGAGTTTATAAGATAGATGATGATAATATATTGAGTATTTAGTATAGTATTATTGTATTACCATAGACTTCTTCTATATTTCATGTTTAACTTTTCAAGATCGTTTTTCAGTTGATCGTTTTCAGTCATGCATGCCCTTCAGTGCATACTCCTGTCTAGTTACAGGGTAGCTATACAAATATTGACAGAAATAGATTGTTTTAATGCGTAACATAGTGAAGTGGCTATCGTTCCGTTACTCAGTTATTGCAGTTATATTTTAAAAAACAAAACTTATAAATCGCTATTAGTAATTTACAATCGCCAACGATTAAGTGTTGTATCTATCATACATATCATACATACATATGTATGTATGTATTGGTATAGGTACTCTTATCTCTCGCTTTTTATGCGCTTGTTTTCCATTTGCTCGTAGCGTATACGTAATATTGTTAAATATCCCAATTACTTGGAATAGTCATCGGTTAAGCGGTTCAAATTGCGTGGAAAACCATTTACAGCAGCTTGTGAAATCGCCAATGAAAATTTATGAGTATTCAATACACACACACACACACACACACATTGCGGCTTGCCAATCCATATATAATATGTTCCGGAGAATTGGCAACTGCCGGAAATTGAATTCAACATTTTTTCTTTCTACCCAGTCAATGATTTGTTTGGTTTTTTTTAAATGAAAATTTTTAGGTTTTCATTGGCGAGTCGCATGAAAAGGAAGCTTTATGAATGTGGCAATGAATGTAGCGCCAGTAAGAACTAGGAAGAAACATTTTGAAATGTTGCAGAATGGCCAAGTTGAGCACCAAGTGGAAAGGTTTAAATAGTATTTAAATTGATGAGCTATACAACTATAATAAAGCAACATAATATTTGGAGATCTTTAGCTTGAAGATATTTAAGATTTGATGAATCTTAACTTAAGATATCTTAAGATTTTAGGCATAAAAATGTTGTGATCCACAACAATCCACCCACATTTCCCTCCTCTAATACATGTTTAAAGAGGGATAAATGCATGATGTCAATAAACCACTAAAATATTATTAGGTCCACCGGCTTTTCGCATGCGAATTGTGCATGAACTAAAAGCCATTTACTTATGGAGTTAGCTATAAATTTTGATTTAGCTTGACGAAATCGAGCGAATCCAGTTTGAAAGCAAACTCATCAATTGGCCGCCCAATCGGTCAAACAATCAGTCAATCAATCAATTAGCCAGTCAGTTAGCACAGCTAATCCGTTCATATGAATAAAACTGCCAATATTGAATTATTTATGGAACGATTATTACGTATACGTAAGCGTATACGTAATATTGTTGTCATTTTACATGCAGCTAATAATTATTAGTATTTAACTAGCATTTAGTGAGAGCATTTAAGGTATCTATCATAGAAATAGATAACATACAGACGTATGTGTACGTGTGTAGCTCTCTATATGGAATAATCATACCTGTTCTCAAAGTGAAAGGAGTCGATTAGCTGCGTGGCAAATGGGGAATATCAAAGAAACGCAGTTAAAACTGGAAATTTTTAATCTGCATTTGTATAGCCAAGCCAAGACGCCCCTTGCGGGCGTGGCAAATCATAAAAATAAAAATAAAACTATATTGTATATGAGGAAGTTGTGGTAGAAACAGGGAAACGCTTTGCCTCCTTTATTGATTAAGCAAAACATGTTATTTACCACTGGGCGAGGTGGAAAATCATAAAAAAAAAAAAAAACCTATAAATTTCCCGAACTTTACAGCTTGAGCTAAACAAGCTGGGAGTCAAGTTGGTATAGACTAACTCGAGAGATTTACGAGAAATAATTCAGAACTGAGCGAGTATTAAGCAGTCGCTAATTCTTACTTAATTTTGTTTTCTTTTTGTTTTTGTTTTTATTTTTTTTTTTTGTTGTCAGCAAATAAGGAAATCAATTTTTTTATTTAGTATAGCGTATTTTTCTTTCTCTCTCTCTCTCTCTCTCTCTCTATCTCTCTCTCTCTCGCTGTTTGTTTACGTTGCTGCCAATCAAGTTACCTCTCGCTGCTGACTCTTTTGTTTTTGTTATTGTTGGCCCATTCAGTTGATGGCCCGTGGTCAGCGGCGCTTGTGGGTGTGAGCCGATGCACGCGTGCCATAAATTTCATAAGACTTAAAGATAACAACAGCAGCAACAACAACAACAACAACAAATGCAACGCATGAGTGCAGTAAGAGTCCATTCGCAGAGCTTGTTAGCAGCAGCAAATGGGCGAGTGGGCATGGCCAAGATGTTGTTTATTTTTCTATTTCAATTCATTTACTGGCCGTCATCACCGTCTCTGCTTCTTGATCATCTCCGTCATGGCCTCAGCCTCAATGACCCACTGGGCAAATTGTTGTCTCTGCCGCTTGCAGTGTGTGACGAAAATAAATGTGAAAATTGTCGAGAAAAACAAACAATTTTTCGATAAAAATATACAAAATAAGCGCCACAGGATGAATTATCAAAGGACCGCGAGTGGCACTGGGCCATGGGGGCTGGGGCTTTGATGGACTGTGGGTTTTGGCCATGGCCGTTTGGCGTTTGCCAGCAATCGGGTCCAATCAGAGCCAACAGACGCACAGCGGGTCAGCAGCTCAACAAATGTGGCCAAATTGGCTGCACGGGTCATAAAGAGCTGAACAGCGTGCGTTGGCGCATGATTTGCTTGCTGCGAAGCCAGCTGGCGGGAGGGGGGGCGGGGGGCGTGGCGCGTCGACTGCCAGTTGTTTCCGCTGTTTGTGGGTTAAGAAAATTGGCCAAGGAAATGGCAGTGAGTGTGTGAGTGAGTGTGCACGAATGCAAGAAAAATAGATTTTTATCAGCAATCAAGTAGGTAAAGCACACACACATATATATACATATACATATATACATATATATGTATGTATGTATCTGTATAAACAGACTGCAAATGGAATTTGGATTTGAAATGGCTTTTATAACTGTTTGAAATCACAATAAGCAGTCAAATGAAAGGATTTTCTCACAAATAATCGGATGTGTAGTCTGAGACCGATAAATCGATAACTATGCTCTACAGCTAGCAGCGTTGAGAAACTAAATAACAAGTTGCTGAAAGCACAATGAATTTTAACTCTACTGACACCAGAAAGGATAAATCTATACTTTTGAGCCATCGATAAATATCGAATTACAACAAAAGGGGCTAAAAAGTCCACACATGTAAAAGATTCATATTTCGACTCATCTTTCAAAGCAATATAGACACAAAATGGATAAGAATATTGCCAGTCAACGCAAATCGAATCATCGATAAATATCGACAGCCCATTATGCAGGACATATTTAAGCAAGAATGACAAAAACAATTGGGATGACATTTAAGAAACACATTCCAAATTGGAATGTGCTAAAAACAAATTTATCGATAATTATCGATTGTAGATCAAGTGAGAAATATCGTACATGGTACACTTACCTATTTGAAAGATGAAACATTTCCATCATCGTGTCGTGCGTGTGCGGGTGGTGCGCATGCTGGTGATGCGGATGCGGAAGTGCGTGCGGATGCGGATGCGGATGCTGATGCTGATGCGGATGTGGAAGCGGATGCGGATGCGGATGATGCAGCGGCGCATGCGGATGATGATGGCCATGTGGCAACATGCCATGTGCTACGGCCGCCGCATACGCAGCCGCACTCGGCGGCACACCACAGCCCGCATACCGTCCGTAGGCGTGGCCAGCGCCGGAATTGCCATACGATGCATTCGGATACCACATGTTCGGGTACATATTGGTCGAGGATGAGCTCGGCGATGGCGGCGGCGGCAACGCCAGCGTCTGGGAATGTCCATAGGCGGCATGCTGACGCCCGCTGCTGCTGCTGCTGCTGCTGCTATTGTTGTTGTTGTTGTTGTTGGTACCAGCGCCGCCACCGCCGCCGCCGCCGCCGCCACCCGGACCCGGTCCAGTGCCCGACGATGGATAACTGTACTGGAAGCTGGTATTGGAGGGAGGCCGCAGCATGATGTCACTATTCGATGGCGTCGGCGATTGATAGTAGCTATTGGCAGCGCTGCCGCTGGCCGCATAGTCCGAGTCCGTATAGCTATCATCCAGATCCAAATCCTCGGTCAGCTGGGTCTCGGGTGAGGCTGCCTCCTCAGCGGGCGACCAGGCGGACGCATATCCTCCCAGCTGCTGCTGCTGCTGCTGCTGCTGCTGCTGCTGTGGATCAGCCTCTGGCTGCTGCTGCGGCGGCTGCTGCTGTTGCTGCTGCGGATCGTCAAAGTAGGGAATGTCTGTTTTGAGATCTTCAACGTCCGCCTGGGCCGCCTGATCGCCGCTGGAATGCTCCGAGGTCGACCTGGACGCCGCTTTCGCTGGACGCTTTAGGTACGCATCGAGGGCGCTCATTTTGATGACCGGGGCGCTGCAGGTGAGAGAGAAGCATAGATAAACATATCTAGATCAGTTCAGATTGAGATAACGAGAGAGAGAGAGAGGGAGATAGCTGTGGGGCGTGAAAGAGAGGTCAAGGGCAGCGCACTATGGATTGGTCAATAATAATTTGATATAACAGGTTGTTAAGTTTTTAATCTATTGCTCATGTTCGACAGCGATTTAATTAATGATACCCTGTAACAGGCCTACCTAGAGTGCTTGATCAGCTCTACAAAGATCATGGACAAATTTATGTGTTTCCTATAAATATGGTCTGTTATTTTATAAATATAAATATCATATTGTCTAGAGTTTAGCAAATATCTTGCATAGAGTTGCCAGACTTTCATATGCTCAATGTCGACATCTTTTCATAATCAGAGTGTGGGATTCTAGCCGAGGAATTTCTATGTTTTTCTATTCAGTCTAATCACAGAGTTGCCAGACTGTCACATTATCAACACTTTGACACTCTGGCAGCCTTCGTTCAGCTTCAACTGACGCCCAGTAAGCCTCGAACGGAAAATGCTTATTAGAGTGTTGCCACACTTTCGCCATTTTTGAAGTTAGTTAAAACAGAGCTGCCATACTTTGAAAACTAACAGCAATCTGGCAACATTCAAGCAATTGAAATGATTTCATGTTAGTTTTGATGATCGATTTCATTTCCATAGTGCATGTGCATACCCCATGTGGCAGCGTGCTGCTACAGGGTATCTGAGCGACATCAACGCATAGTTTTGCCTTATCGAAAACAATTTAATTTTGTTGTTTCATAATTTATTTGATTGCTCTTGTTGCGTGTCATGTAGTAAATAAATTCATATTTTCTATTATTTTCCATAGACAAATATTATTATTTTTTTGGGATGTTTGTTTTTTAAATATACATACATATATACATAAGTATATATGTAAATATTTTTTTTTATTATTTTCGTTTGTCGGGTTTCTTTGTAAATCTATTTTTGTGCAAGGTTTTGGATTCGAAATAGATTTAAGAGCAGGCATATCAATAACCTAGGGTATAGCTGACTAAGAGATGCAGTTGACAGTGCTGAAATTTCAGATAGACATATATAGTTTTTATTATTTTATATTATTATTATTAATTTTTTTTTTCATATATTTGAAAAATTCAATTTACTATTTATTGTTTTACTTAAAAAAAAATACTTTTACTGGGTATCTGCTTATCGATCAATTTCATTATTAGCTCATTAGCCCATAATGCTAAGACTCGTAAAATGCTAAGAGCGATAAACAGAAGGCTTTATGTGTCATAGACATATTTCTGAAATATATATCCGTATACCTAAATATATATAATAGATATTGTATAGATATATACATATGTATATATAAGTATATGTAAGATTTATAGTATATTAGCAAGTGCTGCCTATAAATAATGAGCATACCACAAAACACACACAAGATATACATACATAAAACATATATATGTATGTTATATATATCCATATGATATCTTTGAACTATTTAGTTATTTATATATTTACTTTTCTATTCGATTGCCTTTGGTGTTGTTGTTGTTGCTGTTAGTTTTTCGTTTGACAATTGAGCAAGCTCTACGGAAATTCCCGGCCAAAAAAAGAATTTTATTGACGGATTACTAAGCGGATCGTGTATCATTTTTATATATGTATGTACATATGTATGTGTGTATATTTTTAAGGGGTATGACTAGTCGGTTGAGAGGGGCAAGGTCAATCAACCCGAGTGGAAAAATATATTTAAAAACAAGGTTTGTTTTTGTTTTTATTTTTATTTTTATTTTTTTTTGTTTTTTTCACTATTATTGACAATAAAAATAAGGGAAATAAAACACAAATAAAAACATTCTGTTTATAAATTTTCTTTCTCCTTCTCTCATCTCTCATAAATTCGATTTTGTTTTAATTTTTATACCATTCTTCACATTTCTTTGTATAGATTATAAGTTCTTTAGGCATGTATATATATATTATACCTTCCTCATATACATTCCTCACATATATATTATAATATTCCTTTATTTAATTTGAGCTTTCGAATTGCAATTAACTATGATTCCCAAAAGGTTTATAATTGTCATTTCAATAATAGTGTTGAAAAATACTTCTAAATTATATATCTTAAAAAAAAAAACATTTAATGGCAATGACATTTGATAATACCTTGGCAAGTAAGCGGTTCAGTCAGTGCTGCCAGATAACAGTGCAAAATATTTGTTTAGATTTGATCCATATATAGAACTACTTAGTACACAAACATGAAATATGCACATACACATTTACAGATATCCCTAACTAACAAGCGACAAAAAAGTATGCTTTACTTTATTTACAACTGTTGTAAGAACTAAAAGAAAAGACAAACACAAAATCGCGCTTCTGTCGAGGACTCTTTGCTAATTCAATTGTCAGATGCAAAAATGATTGCGAGCGAAAGAGAGAATGAAAGAGGGGGAGTTGAAGATCGAGCGGGTCGCAACGCGTGTGTCAGACTGAATACGAATGCGGGTCAATTGCCTTGAGCTGTTAGCTGCCCCTGCCATTGTCTCTATCGCTGTCTCGCTCTCTCTCTCTCTCTTCTACACATGTAAAGTTCGCAAATTGTGTCCATCATCAATCAGCAAGAAGTCTGCTTCGCATACTTATTTAAGCTGTGAGAGCTTTTACTTCATTTGCATTGTAATTATCCATATGTATATGATACATGTGTATATATGTGTGTGTGTGAGAGACAATTATAATCTTTATACGCGTGAACGCAGACGTTTTGATAAGCTTCAGACGCTGCCGTGTTATTTATTTATTTTATTTTATTTTCATTTTATTTATTTTAATTTTTTTTTTTTTTGGCAACTCACACTCTATATTTATCGCATTCGCTCTCTCTCTCTCTATCTTTCTCTGGGAGATAAGTAAGTGTAACCATAACGATCCCAAAAAACAGACGCCCACCAGGTGCTATTGTTGTTGTTTGTTGTTAGAGGCTTAAGCCAGAGCAGACGTTGCCAGACTGACAGCAGCTTTACACTCACGCACAATGCGTGCAGCAGGCGGGCGGCGTGAGGGGAGATGCGCCGGCACCGACCATGAGTGAGCAGGCCAGCAGCAGGTTGTGTGTGTGCTGTGTGCGAGAGAGTGAGTGAAAGGCAGCCGCCCGAAAATATTTAATATTTATGTAGGTTAGGAGTCGCACCAACAATGACAGCCAGCAACAAGGGCAACCCCAACAATGCTTGACACATGCACACTCAACCAAACACACACACACACACACACATACACACAGGTACGTACGAAAGAAATGCCAAATTGCAATCGCAGACAAGCGACTGCACAATACTCTCCTATCTGCGACGTGAAAAACTATGAATAACAAACGACAGAAATTTCGGAAATTAATTACTATTATTACTATCGATATTGACATACTAATTGTATGTTAGATAACAAATATTATTCTAATTAACATTCAATTAATGTACTCAGCTTTATCATCGACCCTTGGCAAAACGTTAGCTAGTTTATATATAGCCTACTTTTCGCATTGTGAGTAGTGTACAAAAATCAATTTCACTTACATGTTTTGTGCTGTTTCTTATTTTTCTGCATGAAGTCCGCGTCGACTGTTTGCTATTGTTACTGTTTTTTTTTTTTTTTTCTCTTCTAATTCTTCTTCTGTGTTCTTGCTTTTTGCTGCGGCTATGGCTGTGGCTGCTGCTGTTAAGCTTTGGCTTTGGCGCTCGCCGCGACGCACTCACACTTTGCGTGTTCCTTTTCTTCCTTCTTTTGCTTGGTTTGCGTGTTTGTTGCGCACACCGCAAATTTGTTTATTTCCTTTTTACCTTTTGCACTGGCTGTTGCCGTTATTGTTGTTGGTGTTTCTTTTCTTGTTGACTGCGCGGTTGCTTTTTAATTTGTAACGGTTTTCATGTGCTTGAGCTGAGTTTTTTTTTTGCGTTGCTTGTTTTATTTTGTTTGGTCTGTTTGTACTTGATTTCTTTTGGTGGCTTGTTCTTGGTTCTTGTTACGTATGTATGTACGTACATATATATACATATATTTATATATATGTATATAAACAATTATATAGATATTTTATATGAATGTGCTTTCAATGTGTACATATAAAAAATATGTAAACTTGTAAGTTATGCTTTGCTGTTTTGTTTTTCTTTTTTCTTTTTTTTGTATACTTATTTTTCACATAGAAATGCATGCAGTTCTTTTTGTTGTTGTTTTTTAACTTTGTGTATACATACTTTTTCTTTATTTTTTTTATTTTTAGTATTTAAAATAATTTTTTGGTATTTATTTGGTTGGTTTTGTTGTTGTTTTTATAAATTGTATTTTGTTGCTGCAGCTGCTGCTATTTTCGTTATGTTGGAGGTTTTGCATTTGTTGTAGTATTTAAAATAAAAATTTATTTTCCTTTTTTATATGTATAATGTTTTTTTGTTTTGTTAATATTTGTACAGCCGTTGCGATGCGGAGGTAATTGTTGTTGTTGTTGCTTTGTCGCACTGTTTTCTGCAAGTGTACAAATAGCCTTGTTGTTGTTTCTGCTGTTGCTCCTGTTACATTAGCTCATTGTGAACTCTAAGCAAACACATAAAAAAAAGAAAGAAAAAACTTGTTTATTTAAACTATGTTTTTGCTTAAGCAAAAAAATGAAACATACACAAAATTCACATAAAAAAATTCGCGCACTTTGCGCTCGGCTTGAGCTGTTGTTGTTTGTCTTGCTTAGCTTTGTCTGAAAGCATTTAAATAGATTTTTAATTTATTTTAAATTACACTTATGTTTTTTTCGTTTTTAACTATTTTTTTTATGACTTTATTTAAATTTTGGGTCGCATTTGATTTTGTTTTCGCGTTTTGTTGTTGTTGTTGCTAATTAAAAAAAAATATTTAAACATATAGCTAATCATTTTGTTTTTGTTTCTTTGTTTCTGCCTGTGTGTTGTCACCTGTTGCTGTTGTTCTTATTGTTGTTGCTGCTGTTTCAAGTAACAACAACACATAAACAAAAATTAAGAGCTTTAGTCAAATGGAAACCGGTCGAAGCTGCGTCTTCGCTTGTTCATTTAGCACGAAAGCTTGAAAACTGCCCTAGAGAGGGAGAGAGCGGATGGGTGGGTGGTTGGTCGGCCGGTCGGTCGTTTGGTCGGTCGTTTGGTCGGTCGGACTGAGCGAGCGTATAAGATAGACTGCAAATGGGAATGGAGCATGAGGATGGAAGAGAGCGGACGCGTTCTGTCTCAAAGCTTTCGACTTCGAGTTTGACTTCGAAATTTATGGACTTAAGCAGACATTTTTAGAAAGCACATGCATTCCCATGTGTGTGTGTGTGTGTGTGTGTGTATGTGTACGTGCTCGAGTATGCCGCTCAAATCAAGTAAGCAAAATATAAGAGCATAAAACATGAATTGCTACAGTGCGTGTGTCTTGTTGCTCATTCTTGTTGCTGTTGTTCGCACACCCCAAAAGAAGGCGAAGACGACAAAAAGCTCACACGCACACCCAGACCTAGGCTCACGCACAACAGGGACATGAAATATAGATGTCTACGCAAGCCAGGGGGTGGGCGCTTGGGCTGGATAAACAACTAAGACTGTGGAACTGCGGACAAATTTCTAGTACACATTGCAAAATAAACACGCAAAAGAAAATTAATGAGCAACAGCGGTAGTAGTAGTAGCAACAGCAGCAAAGGAACCAGCAGCGGCGGCGGCAGCGGTGGCAGCGCCGACAGTCACAGTGACAGTGACACTGGCCTGGGTCAATCACCTGGGTCGCAGTCGCAGTTACGAGCAATAATAGCAACAGCAATAATAACAACGTCAAACTTAAACATTTTGTTGTTACGTGCGCTCTCCCACTCTTCCTGCTCTTCGCCCTCGCTCTCTCATCTGACTGACTGACTGCCTGCCTGCCTGGTTGGCTGCTCACTTTATTTGCATTGCGCCAGCACGAACAGAACAAAAACAAAAGCCTTCAAAACTGGCGAGCAAAAGGCACAGCAATTGCTAGACGGAGACGCAGATTATCAAAAAGAACAGCAACAATAACAGCAACAATAACAGCAGCAATAACAGCAGCAACAACAGCAGCAACAACATTAGCGCAAATCGCCGCGAGCGCAAAACAATAAATAAATTATATAATACGCTGGCTTGTTCTCGTTTATTCTCGCCGTTTGTCAGTGCGCCCAATACGGTGTTCACAGGCCCATTCTCTTTGCCCGTCCTCTGTCCCCCTCTCTGCCTCTCTCTCGCTCTCTCTGTCTCTCTCTCTCTCACTTTGGCATTGCCTCTCGCCGCTACGAGCCCGTACACTCCTTTGCGCGACGTTTGTTTACTTCTGTTTTCGTTCTAACGGTAAAGCAGTTAATTACAGAGCGCATTCAAAACTGAGCGAATTACGTATACGCCAACAGCAATAACAACAATACACATACGCACGCAAAACTATGTATGCATGGTTATGTGTGCGTATGTAGATATGTATGTACGTGTATGTATGTGTGACGACTAGTTTATAAATAGAGCTAAAGATGTGACAATTTTTTCAGGGCGCATGATTGAATACCCAAGTATAACTGATAAATCACGCAGCTGTGAATTTGGATAGCTTTGCTGCTTCTCATCACATACCACACACCCACACCCATGCCCACTCACACAGACAGACACACACGCACAGGCACACATTCAGGGTAAAGGACAATGTGCCAGCAACGTCCTTCGAAAAATCGTTTAGAAAATTGCGCGCCGTTTTTGCTGTTCTTTTATTATTATTATTTATTTACTTTTCTTTCTTTATTTATTTATTTTTTTTGGTTGGCTCTAGTGCTGCCTCTGTCGCTCACGCTCTTTAACTTGTATGAGCTCTCTGCTGCCGCCGCTGCTGCTGCTGCTGCTGCGACTGCCTCGACCTGGCCTAACCACTAACTGTAGCGACGACAGCGATGCCAACGGCAACATCAGGTGGTAGCCGCCGCTGCTGGCAATTCGCCGCCGTCGTCGTCGCCGTCGCCGTCACCGTCACCGTTTCTAAACCAAAAATAGCTTTGCACTCGCACTCGCGCCACATAGAGAGCAAGAGAGTGAGATATAGAAACACGTATGTATATATCTACATACGTACATACATACATTGGTATGTGTATATATGTATGTGAGTGGCTGTTATTACTCTATTTAGCACGTTCTATTACTATTCTAGTTGTTGCTGCTACTGCAGCTACTGCATAATATTGTTTTCGTTTATTAATTGTTTACATATCTCTTGCTAGCACTTTGCCGTGCAGCTCACACTGCGTATGCGTAATCTGTGCAGCAAAATTTAAGCGAACACTTGTTGTTGCCGTTCTCTCTCTCTCTCTCTCTTTCTCTGCTGTTGTTGACTTGTAGATCAGATTGCGAAAGCTCAGTTCGTTTGAGTGATGCTGATAGCGATAATAACAGTGATGCAAACACTGCCAGCTGAGAGCACATTTCAGAGAGCAGCAGCAGAAAGCGAGAGAGAGAGAGAGTGAGAGAGTGAGTGTGTGAGCGTGCCGATGAGCGCATTTTGACTGAGCTTGCAGTTAAGCGCAACTCACTGCGCTTATCTGCATTTACATTTACAGACGGCCTGCTCTGCTTGGCTCTGCTCTGCTTGGTAAGTGTTTTGAGGAGGTAAGAAATTTTGTATTGTGCTTTTAGCAGCGCTAATAACCGCAGCAGCAGCTGCTGCCAGTGCGCTGGTATTGGTTAGCACTTGCTGTATGCGTGTACAAGCTTCGCCTCTTTCGCTCTCCTCTCTGTTTTGTATGCGAGACGCAAGGCGACGGTGACGACGGAGACAACGACGCGTCGCAGCTGCAGCGGCGGCGACGTTGGCGGCGGCAGATGCGACGTCAGCAATAATTTTGTCGTGCTCGAGGAGACAACAAATAATTTTATAAAAATTCATGTGTGTCTCTGTATTTGTATATACATATATATATGTGTGTGTGTGTGCGTGTGTGGATATGTATGTGTGTTGAATATTTTGCAACAAATTCCCAAAGTTAATTATTATGAAAATTAATAACTTTTTAAGCGTGCGCGTAGCGTCGCAGTCGCCGCTGGCTTGAAAGCTGCCGTAGCCGATACTTTGACGTGCGTTCGAATCAAAGATGTTTAGGAAGAAGAAGAAGCTAAGCAGAAAGCACCATTCAAAAAAAAAAAAAACAAGAAACCAAAACTAACAACAACAACGGCGAATCGAACGAAAATGAAATAAAATAAGAAATATACGAGCAACACACACAAACACACACGCACATACACACAAACATACGCATAGCTACGAAAACGAAAAAATAAAAACCTTGAAAACAACAAAAACAACAACAAATATAATAAAAACCGAAAAACTTTATTAGACTTTTAATGAGTGCGTTTTGTTCGTTATTTTTTTTTTTTTTTTTGTGTTGTTGCTGTTATTGTTGTAGTGCTGATGTTGCTGCTGTTGTTGTTGGTACTATTGCTTGCTGTTTATTGTTTTTAATCTCTTGTTTCTTTGCTGTGTTGTTCTATCGCTTTGATATTTTGATTGATTTGGCGGCACAAACAAATAAATAAATATATACAAAATATTTACAAAAAATCTATATATACATTTATATATGTATAAATGTATATGCATATGTATGTATGTACATATATAGAAAAATATATGTACAAATGCATAGATTGTTAGCAAAATTAAAAGCAATTCGAAAATACGAGACGAAAGCAAATAAACCATAGAAAAACAAAAACAAAAAAAGAAACTGGAAATTCATTAATATGTTAATTTTTGGCTTGTCTGTGCCATACAAAAATTAACAACCACATACACACGCACAGACGCACATGGGCACGTACAAGCCACATATACAAATACACACATAAACATATATTTATATGTGTATGTATTTGTATTAATGTGTGCAAGTGTTTGTTGTTATTGTTTATTTTCCTATGCTATATGATGGAACAGAACGAACATTTGTTGCAGCCTCTCTCGGAAATCAGTTTGACTGCCGCTAGATGGCGCAATTCGCAGCTGATTATCACACCCACCTCGCCCACCTCGCCTCCGCCCAGCACATACACACAGGTGCACACAGTAGGAACATAAAAACAAACATGAATTTTGGATCTTTACTCGAGAATACGTTGCACTTCATTAAGTTTGATACCGTTTTGCGAATCCAATTATGATTTCGGATTTCGTTTTCAATTCCGATGCCAAAGCAACACACAAAAAAATAAGGAAAAATAATAAAGTGACGGCGACAACAACGACGACGACGACGACGACAACGGCTACGACGGCTACGACGGCTACAAAGACAACTACGACGACGACGACGACGAACGGAACGCAGAAAAAACAGAAAACTGAAACACAACAATTGAAGCTGAAGCTGAAGCGAAGCCAGCAGCTATCGAACAAGCGAGCGAGCGAGCTAGCGAGCGGGTAAACGAGCGACGAGCGACGAGCGAGCGAGCGTACGTTCGACGTCCGAACAAACCGCTACAGAAACAGAAATTAATTATATTGAAATCACAAACTAAACTAATCAGCAAAAGCAGCCCAAGCAGCTAGGCCGCTGCCGCGAGCGAGCTTCAGCAGATGGGGAGAGAGAGCGAAGGAGAGCGACCGAGAGAGACAGTGTGGAGGGAGAGCGAGCCGAACGAACGTCAAGCAATGCAAAGCACTTTGCAGAGAGCGCAAAGTGGGCGCCAAACAACGTGAGAGTGATAGCGCGAGTGCAAGAGAGACGGGGCGAGAATGAGAGAAATTAACGTTATATTAAGCCTTGCCTTAAAGGATAACAACGACAAAAACAACAACAACAAATAACACGCACATAAACACACGCACACGACAAGGCTTCCGTTTTGAAGCTAATTTCAGGATCATTTGGTGTTTTAGTTTGCTTTTCCAGTTATTGTTTCTGTTTTATTTTTTATTTATTTTTTTGTTTTTTTTTGTATAACAACAACTACGCCGCGACGAAGTGGGAGAGCGCTGCGGCGGCGGAGGTGAGCTTTTGCGACGGCTATGGCGACGGCGACGACGACGGCGAAGCTCGAAGCCGCTGCCCGCACACTTACACAACAGGCTAGGCGGGACGTGCAGCGAACACGCACACACACACACACACACATGCATGTATATGCACTGAATATTTTTAGAGACATACATGTATTGAGAGCATTAGCTGCATCAGGTGCCCGGCCGGAGATGTGTCTCTACCTGCGGTTTAATTTTAATGCGTCGCCGTTACTTCGCGCGGCTGCTAAACAGTAACAAAAAAAAAAGAAGCAATTGAACTAACTGCGCGGCGAGCATCTGCGACGGCAACGTCTTTGGACTTGGACTGCTGTCGAGCGACTAGCGACGACTGTCGATTGACTCGACAGGCGACAACAGCGAGCCAATTGGCATTGGCATTGGCGGCGCATTACTCCAAGCCCAGACTTTTGGGCCAGGATATCATACATACAGCTGAGACAATTTGGTTAAGAGCCCACACACACACACGCGCGCGCGAAGCTTTCGGCAATACTTTTGTTTTTGTTTGGTTTGTTTCATTTGTTTTGAGCGCAAGCTTTAAGAGCTTTGCCTGCATGTCGTATACGCAATATTTTTGAATGTTGCTCTCGCCGCCGCCGCGCGCACTCTTATACTCAAATGCGTCGAGGGGTGGGTAAGCATTCGAATGTTGCTGCAGCTGCTGGCGCTTAAATTTGAAAATTATATCATGCACTTTAGCTAATGATTTTTTGTGGCTACTGAACTGCTGAGTAAATTTTATTTTAGGGCTGGAAAGCTCAAAGTTCTCAAAAGGGCATTTAAACGAAAATGATCAAAATCTCTCAGATCGAGCATATGTAATTTAAAATTGATTGCTAGTCAAATTTATAAGTACAGATTAGAAGTGTGCTTAACAAATATATTTTTTTTTAAATAATAATAACCAAAAGAGATTATCCTCAAAAGTATACTATAAGCTGACCATTTACTCTTTTATTCTTCCCTCTATACAGTTAATAGCACATTCATTTCTTAGAGTGCCATTAACTGTTTTTATTTGTTCACCTAAATATTTAAAAAATTTAATTTATTTTATCTTCCTCAAGCTTTTTACCTCAACTCGGCCTTTATTGCCACCTTCGGCAGCGCCGAAAAAGCTTTCACGATCCACATATGAAAGCTTTTTTGCAATACATTCAGTATTTTTCTGGATTTCTACTCCACTCTTTCATGGTCACGTTAAATTTACTTGGCGCCAAGTAATTGTCAATTGAAAATATACAAATGCATTTTATTTTTAATCCAGTTCAACGTTTTGTCTATTTTTGTATGCTTGGGTCACAACGAATTACAACAGTTATGTTCTATTTATGTTATGGAATTAAAATACTTATTTCTTAGTACTTGCTTATATTTTTTTGATTTGCGTCGCGCAACACACTGAGCTCATCGGGCAGAGCGAAAATGCGCACCTCCTTCTCAATCATAATATCCTGCATATTGCTTGTTTCCTGCGGCACAGACGTAATCCCCTCCATGTAGAGCGACTTGTCCCATGGACACTCGTCTAGGGCCATCAGAAGGCAGCGTTTGCTGCGTTCAAAGCTAGTTTGCTCCGTGGACAGACAGCGCAAATAGAGACGCCAGTACAAGGAGTTGCGACGAAGAATCCAATACTGATCGGCCTCCTCCGCGGAGCGATGCGGATTGGTGGGCAGAAAAGTCTCGAATATGTTCAGCGAGCGATTATACTGGAGCAGCCGCTGATTCTGCTGTGCGCTTTGCACATCTTCTTCCACATCGCCCCTCCGGCTGAAGTACTGACTGAAACGCATATGCGCCGCGATGATCAGGTGCAGCACCGACAGGATGCCCACCTTGCACTGGATGAGGCGCGAGCGCAGCTTGTACCATGGCAAAGTCCACAGCTCGGACCAGCGATGCAGAAAGGCCATATTGCGCGGAAACTCCACCAGCGCCGGCTCCAGCACGGTACGCAAGCGGCGACCCAGCGTGTTATGCCGGCTGGGAATGTGGAACACCAACAGCAGCTGCAGCTCGCGCACCTGCTCCCGCAGAAAACGACAGCGTGTGCGCTCCAGCTCCTTCGGCTCCAGCGCGAAATGTGGCTCTGCCAGCAGCCGGTCCAGCAGCTCGAAGGCTTTGTCCACCTCGTTCAGCAGGCAGAGCATCAGACAATGTGTGCGCAGCAGCAGGACCACACGATTTGGTGCAAAGTAATCGCACAGTGGCATGGGATCCACAGCCCCACCAGCTTGCTCCCTCATTGCCGCCAAAGCGGCATCCAGCAACCGGGTGCTGCACTGGACTAGTTCATCCGGCGTGGCTATAATCTCGTCGGGGCGGCTGCTCGGGCTCTTGCCCAGGGCCAGGCATTTGAGTAAATGGAGGGCCTCGGTCCTCTTCTCCTGGGCCAGCAGCAGCTCAACACGCACCACAAGCGCCTGCACCATCTGGGTGTCCTGGTAGTCCGGCGACGTGCCCAATATAATATTTAAGATCTTGCTGCTGCGCTCCACATTCTCGTTATTGGGCGCTGTCTCATACTCGGTGATGGCCATCTCGGTGTAGAGGCAGGTGATTTCCTTATTAGCCGGCCGCATGAGCAGATCGCGCAAGCGCTGCCTGGCCTGGACACACTGCTCCGCCTTCAGTTGGCCGCCTATCTTCAGCATTGTCAGGCGCAGGCGCTCGAAGCGGATATAAAGTAGGAGAAAGACCAAACGCTGCGAACTGTCCTGCAGGCCATCGCTGCACGCGAGCAACGTCTGGGCAATGCAATCCACATAGAGCTCGTGGCCGATGGCATGTGACATAAAGGTGGGGCTGGTGGCCAGCTGCTTGGCCATCTGTATCACGGCTGTGCTGTAGTCTAGGCCACTGCTGTGCCTGGGCAGCGAGTAGGTGAAGCGATCACCCATTTCGACGAGCAGAGTCTCGATGGCCTCCGAATCCCCAATCTGATCTATACGTGAGCACAAGCGCTCCGCCAGGCAATCGGTGCGAACGAACGGAAGCTTCATCATCTGCATGACCAGGAGCAGCAGCTGCATGCCGCTCTCCACGCACTTCATGGGGAACAGGAAGGGGGAGACTTGCATGGGCTCGATGCAACGCTGCCAGTCGCGGGGGTTCGCAACCATCTCCGAATAGGGTAGAAAATTATAGGACTGACGCAGCCGCTCGACACGTGTCCAAATCTCGTGCATTGGCATGCCGGAGCGTAGTACCAGCTCCTCGTACTCGATAAGTGGCGCCTCGTTTTCCTCGCACGCACTAAGGCACTTCAGGTTATCATTCTTTAAATTCAAGTTCAGCACCAATTTGAGCAGCGCAAACATCTGGTCGAAATGTCCGGATTGTCGCATGAACAGGACACAATTGTGGAATAGCTTCATCATTAGCTCATCCGATTGGCGCGGCGATAGCGGGCGCTTGTCCAAGTGCTTGCGTTGCATGCGTTCCATGCAGAGCTCATAGGTTAGCAGCACATCCGGCACAGTGCAGCGCGCCATTGAGCCTTGTGTGGTCATGATGAGGGCCTTCCACAGGATGAACTCGTAGGGTGTGCGTTTCAGCATCTCCTCGAGCTTGGAGGCCACCTGGAAGGGAAGGGTGCATTAGTAGATCAATCGGCTAGCTATCTAACGGCCTCCACCCACCTGACTATCCGAATATGTGGCTATGGCCGTCTCCACGTAGAGCTTCAACAACATCTCGTTACCCTCATGATGCGTGAGCGCCGTTTCGAGCTTGTGCATCTGCTGTTCGGCGATGGCCAGGCGATTGCTCTTGGTGACAGTGCTGGCTAGCAGCTGATGCAATTCGAGCCACGAGTCAAGTTGTTGCGGCTCGTTGGCCAGCAAGCTCTGCAGCTCTTGGATGCGCTGCGTCTTCTTCGCAATCTCTTTGGAGCTCAGTTTTGGCTCCTTGTGCGAAGTGGATTTGCTCAGACGTGAACGTTTTCTCTTTTGGTTATCCCTGTGGCGCAGCTGCATGGGATCAATCAAGCGTCGCATATTTACTAAGTATTTGGGGCGTGTGAAAGCTGGCAATGTCTTCCATAGAAGGTGGTAATTAGCAGCCAATTTGTCCACATAGTATTTCACATCGCCATCGAATTCTAGCGAGCGACGCTGAGCTTTCTTTTTGGGAAGGCTGCAGTCCGAATCCGTTGAGGAATCGGATTGGTCCTCCTTCGGCTTAGAGCTAGAGCCTGATCCCGAGCTGGAGTCTGACTGGTCTGTGTCCGAGTCTAGGCTCGACTCCAAGTTGGCGCCTGAGCCCGCCTCTGGGACAGCGACTGAGCGCGCGCTGGCGCCCGAACTTAAACGTGAACCTGAACCTGAGCCTGAGCCTGAGCCCGAGTCCGAGCCCAAGGGACGAATATAAAAGGGCGCATTAACACAGCGCTGTGCTGGCACCTCGAAGCTCTGATTGCGCTGCCAATCAACATTGGCATGGGCTAATTAGAAATGAGTATTTGAATAGTTTACATTAATTGTAAAATAATAAATATTAAACCTGATGTTTCCAAGTTCTTCGCATTGGAATTTGAATTTTTTTTAGATTTGTCACCGTCGTATGCCGGAAAGAGAGACATTTTTGCGTCGTATCAATGTTGAAAGTCCTTAGCAAACTGATTTATATTTTCATTTTAATATTGCCACTAATTACATACAAAAAACGACTTAAATAAAGCAGCACTGATTTCAAATACTAGAGCTGAGAAGTTTGCATTGTTAGTGAACAGCTGTTATTTGCTCATCTCGAAAACCTGTCGATAGTTAGCAGCAATCGAGCAACCATCGTGTTAGCGACTGTGCGCTATCGGGGCGCGAATATACGTATCGACAATTTTAAATTATCTAAATTTAAATAAAGCTCAATTTTTCCGCAGAGTCTTGAATCGTCTAAATGAAAATCATCAATTCTTGATTTGTTGGCTATTTTGTATTCATAGACATAACATTGGGCTATGTAGGAATTATCGATTGTTACTGTATTAAAGAAACGATTGACGTTTTCGGTAATGAATGCCTCAATTATCGAGTAAATTAATAAAACCACTTCGATTACACTGGCAAAATGTCGATGCTTTTTCAAATTTCTTTTTTCTGCATTTTTTAACGTTTTTTATTGAAAACATTTTATTAAAACCTTATTTTTGCGTCTAGCACAAAAAATATTTGTATATTGCATTTATTCATGTTAAACGCTGTGTTTACATGCTTTATATTGTTGGTATGTATGCGATATTGTAATTTCAATTAGTTTTGCTCTCTATTCATTTGGTGCACATCGCAAATAAAATTGAATAATCTCTTGGTTTCAGTTGCGATTACGATTACGGTTACGGTTACGGTTGCGGTTGCTTAGGTACTGCATTCAACTACACTTATTTAACTATATATATATTTATTCTTATTAAACATTACTTTCACTATTTTCTATTCCTTGCTTTGCAGTCGCTGCCGCCGCTGCTGCCGCTGCCGCCGCGGTGACGCGAGTACGGGAGTATTTGCTAATGGACGTGGGAAAGGCGGCAGCGTTGACGGCAGTCGCAGCAGCAGCGTCCACATCGGCGCCGGCAACACGAATGCTATTGCCAACGGGATAAACGCAGCAGCCGCGCCGCTGCTTCCGGGTCGAGGGCGAGCCGCCGCTGCTGTTGTTCCTATCACCAATTTGTACTAAAATGGGAAGATCCTCGCTGCGCGCGAACACAAACTCCTCGGAGGACAGACGCTTGCGCACGCGTCCACCAACCACATCGGCCCTCTTGCTGGCGCCATTGCTCAGGGGCGAGGGCGATGCCGGCGCCACAATGGCCGGCGTCTCTGGCTGAGCGGCGGCGGCGCCGGCGTAGACGGGAAAGTGCGATTCCAGCACACCTGGACGTATAAGGATCTCGTTGAGTGCATGGCCGCCGTTCAGCTTCGCTGGCTCCTGCTGCTGCTGCTGCTGCTGCCGGCTGGGCGTGGCAAACTGTTCCAGCGATGTTTGCGAGTTGGCGCTGTAGAAGCTGCTGTTGGTGTCCGTGGAGCCAACCGTTGCCGTTGCCATCGATGCGGCTGTCGACGTCGCCGCCGTTGCCGCCTCCACCTTGGCGCACTGCTGATGATCGTGCGCGGAGCGCGTGCAGCAATCGCGTCCATCGCGCCGACAGGGACAGTGGGGACAGAGGCGCAGGCAGTGCTCGTCGGCCAGGATGTTGCTGTCGCTGAACGTGAGCTTCTTGGCGGGCGAGGAGTGCGCCTCCTCGTCCAGCTGATCGGCCGACTTGGAGTTGGCCGCGCACGGCACCGCCGCCGGCAGCTGCAGCCGATGAAGGCTGTGCGCCGACTCGAAGCTGTCGTCGCTGGAGTTGGAGTCCAGGCCCAGGCTGTGCTTGTACTGCAGCTGCTGGTGGTGGTGGGCGCCCGGCTCGGGGAAGATGCGCGGAAACGTGACAAAGACACGGCCCAGCCGCTTGTACTGGTCCAGGTTGCGTGTGTCCTCCGCACAGCCGGACAGATTCTCGCTGAACTTGGGCGCACGACGCATCACCTTGGGCGTGTGCAGCTGCGACTCGAATATGTCCTCCAGCGGCACCTTGGGCACCCCGGCCGCGCCCATGCCCATGCCCACGCCCATGTGCTGCAGATAACGCTCAACGCTGTTGGCCAAGCTGATGGGAACGCTGCTGCGCGAGGATACGCTCGAGATCTCGGACAAGGTCTCCGGACTGGCCAGCGGCGCCAGGCCGTACCAGTCGTCGTGCAGCAGGTCCACGGCCTGGCCGGCCAGCGAGGCGCGCCGCAGCGCCTGCGTCAGCGGCAGGGAGCGCGGCTTGCGCTCCGAGTGCTGCCGCGCCAGCGGCTGCATCTCCGCCAGCGACGGCGGCGGCGTGGGCGCCATGTCGAAGGCGACGGCGCGCAGCCGTGGCGTCTCGCTAGCCTCGGCATTGAGCAGCACCGTTGTCGTCTCGCTAAGCATGGAGCAGGGACTCTTGCGCATTGTGGTCACCGTGGTGATGCTGTCGTCCAGGACGCTTGATATGTCATATGGAGTGGTGGTGGAGCTGAGCTGGCTGCGCCCAAAGATGCTGCCCGCTATGGACGAGGCCTTGCTGCCGGCCAGCGGCTGAGCCGTGCGCTGCTCCAGCTGATGCTGCAGATTGGTGAACGACGTCTCCAGGCAGAGCTTGTGCTGGGCCGTGGGCGTCAGCATGATGCAGTTGCTCAAATTCGAATAGGAACTGTCCGCCGGACGTTTGCAGTGCGGTGCACCGATCAGCTCCTGCTGCGCTAAGCTGCCGGCGCCGGCAAAGTGACGAGCCGTATCCGGATTTGGATTTGGATCCGTATCGTGGCTGGGCTCCTGGTCGGGCTGCTGATCGTCGTCCTGGTCCATCGATGTGGTGGAGAATGCATTTGAGGTCTGGCGCTGGGGCTTGCGTGGGCCGCTAGTCGTTACAACCTGCCAGTGTTGGGCAACGAAAGAGACAGACAGAGAGAGAGAGAGAGAGAGAGAGAACATGTTAGCGCCTCGATCAGAGCAGCAAGCGTAACGGCTTCTCGCATGTAAGCAAGTATGTGTATGCTTGGGTGTGTGTGTGTGTGTGTGTGTGCAGTTATAGTTGAGATCTACACATACAATTGCACAATTACATACACACAACGACCATTAACAGCTACACATGTATGTATGTATGTACAATATATAAAGGAAATGTTATTATTTTTTGTTCTTGTGAGTGAGCGAAAGCGCGTGCGTGAGTGGAAGCCTGAGCGACAGAGAGAGAGAGACAGAGAGAGACAGAGACAGAGACAGAGACAGACACAGAGAGTGAGAGCTGAAGGCATAGTTTAGTAGAATGGATTATCGAGAACGTTTGGTAATAACATATCTAAATTAGTATGTACATATGTATGTAGGTATACGAAAAGAGCTGAATGGGTTTCCAAATTGGATGGACGTGAAAAGTACCAGGACGTGTGATCTGATTGGAATGGGCGTTTCTTGTTGCTGACAATGACACAGTGTACTATGTATGTATGTGCATATGACGCGTGTCTCGTGTCACGAGACACGCGATACCATGGCGATAGTTGAGTACATACAAAGTATTGAGAATAGAATTACATTTAGATAGTTTTATTGGAGAGGCAATGAAACGAAAATTGTATAAAACTTGTTTGGTTAGGTAGGATCAAGACATTATATATATATACATGCATATATATGCGTATATACATATATATATGTATGTATAGTAATGTAAATATATTTATAAAGAGACAGAGAGAGATAGAGAGAAAAAGAGAGAGAGAGAGATAGAGACTTGTATTTTGATTGATTTCTGTTTTGTTTTTTTAATATTATTTGAACAAGAGCAAAATGGAAAGTTTTGTAAGTCTTTTTTAAGTAGTTGGCAGCTGTACCTGGTATCGGTATTTTGTGTTGTCGAACTTGTTGTTGTTGTTATTGTCGTGTTATCTTTACATTTACGAGCAGTACATGCCTTTACGTTACGATCTCTACAAGACACGACCTGAACGCCCACATCGCATATCGTTTAGCGTTAATCGTTTATCAGTTATCGTATATCGATTATCGTTTATCGTTTATCAGTTTGACCGTTAGTACATATGTACACATGTGGCATAGTTGAACATATCGTGTTAACAACAAACAAACAAACAAACAAAAATAAACAATTAAATTCATTTGTTAAAGATTTAGCAAATTTCTTATTGATATTTTTGATGAATTGTCAACAAGATCTCCATACGCAAATCGAGCGAGCGATTTGTTCACCTGACAGCCTGCCTAAACATACTTAGTCACGGGCGTTACTCGGCTTTACTTGACTTGACTGTTCACACACACAACTAGCAGTAAAAATGTATTTGGACAAAAAAAAAAAACAGGTGAATGTAATCAACTAATTAACTATCGCATTTGCTGGCACACAAAGCTTCACAACAAACAAACATTCCCATGCAGCGTTTCGGTGTTCCATTAGTCTAATCAATTCGCTCGTTCGTGTATGTCTCGAGATGTTGGAGATGCCCCAGATTCCGTCGTGTTGTCTCGAGTTGTGGCAAATAAACAAAGACACTTGCCAAAAACGAAAAATTTTAAATAGAAACGCATAACGAACAAATTATAATCCATAGCTTGTGACTGAGAAAGAAAAGAGGCAAAGCAACTATATCTTTAATCTATAAAAAAAGTGATTCTAGCATGTTTACCAAAGAGTTACTCTGAAGTTAGCCTAATCCTAACTAAGCTCTTCTAGCAACTAATTGACTGTTGACAGTTCTTCGCTCACTTTCAAATAGCTTGAAAACTTTTATGAAACTTTTAGATATATTACTATAGATATATTACTTTAAATTATGCCTGAAGGCCTTTGTCGCTCTGGCTTAACAAAAAATTGTTATCTGGAATTAATTCTTGATCAAAAAATATAAAAATATATAACTATATATTTTCAGAGTAACCTTGTTTGGGCTATTTGGAAAGTTTTTTAAATCTTAAATACGAACGTACTTTAAACTCTTAAGTTTTAACTACATTTGCATTTCCTTTATAAATTAATATTTCATATTATCTAGTAGTCTATACTCTATACCATATTTCTTTCCAATTTTCAATACAGTCTATAATTCCATACTGCTCCCATTTTCCATACAGCTCTATTTTATTCCACTTATCTATATCACCTCAGATAGCACCATGTACTCCTATATTTTCATATATCTCTATAGTTTACCATCTATTATAACAACCCATTCAAGCTGAAGCCATCTCGAGCCGCTTTTAACGACTTTTACCCATTTGAAAGAAAAAAAACTTTGGTCTTTTTTTTTTTAAATATTGTGTGTACACATATTTAGTAAAACATATAAATATAAATATAAATACATTGAAAATAAACAATTAAAAATAATAATAATTATAATAACAATAAAAAAACATTAAAGTCAAATGCAAAATACACAGTTTAACTTAATTTAAGACAGATAAACATTAAAAATTGAGCTTAGGCCATAAATAAATTACAAATTGAAGCAAATAAATAATGCAGTGAGTCGAGAGACTAACTAACTAAGTAGTAACTAACTAACGAGCTAATCAGTGAGAATATAAATACATATTCATATGTATGTGTCATTAAAAACATAAGATTCAAATCAAATATTGTACATATCGAAGTGTAAACAATTGAAAACTGAAACATAAATTAGCGATTAGCTAGTTGTTGTTGTTGTTGTTGTTGTTGTAGTAGTTGTTGTTGTTGTTGTTGCAAGCGTGTGTGCTGCTTGCTGGCAAAGGCATAGGCATTGGCGTGGGCGGGGCGGTAGGCAGACTGTTTGATTGGGGGCGGCGCACATGGGACATGGGCGTGTTTTGTGTTGCAATTGAAGCTAACGCTCGACACCTTAACATTACACTTAATAGTTAGGGTAAGCACATATGTATATATACATACAAATATATATATATATATATACATATATATGCTTGACTAAACTAAATCAGTGTGCGCTAAATATGCTAGAAACTATTCACTAAATATATATACAGATTTATATATATAGAGATATAGATATATGTATGTATATGATTGCTAAAGCAAACGACGAGAACGAGCATCATCATGATCACCAACATCATCATCTTCGTCTTCATCATCTTCATCATGTTCCTCAACTGGCTGTGGAACAACTATTCACCGAGGTGCGTTCGTCATCGACCTCCGCAATTACCTTCTTGAGCGCGGCGAGGACCTTGTCGGGCATGTGATCCTGCAGCATGACAGGCGATATGAGCACCTCATCGAAATCGGTTGAATCGGCCCAAATCGCCTGATAGACGGGCTCGCGACTCTTGAGCACATTCCTGCAAAGAACAGAAGAAGAAGTAGAAAAAGCAGATAAGGCCACAGCAAGTCGCTCAGCCGATCAGTAAAAAATTCGAACTTGGATTACTCTAAATGTTAACTACATAACATATGCATCTACGTATATACAAATGAAAAGTTAACAGACCTAAATTACATATATAGAAATTGTATATAGTATATAGAAATTGAAATTGAACTAACTACAATTCAACGAATGGACTAGAGCTAAATTATGAATAGAATTCAAACTAGAGAGAGCCAGGCATAGTAACGAATAGAGAGAGTGAGAGAGAGAGGCAGACAAAGAGAAAGATATAGAGAGAGAGTGAAGGATGGGTTCAGTTATATTTAATTGATATGCCATGCTGGAAAACATAAATCATTTAGATAAACGAATGAATCAAGAAACAAAGTTCCACTCGCCGAGAACGAGAACGCGTTCGGGAAAGTTTTGGGCAAGAGCTACGAATGGATCGCAACGTATATAACATGCGTCGCCTCATGCAATTGGCAAAACAATATAAAACTTTGGTAAACAAATCTATCTAAAGCTAAGTTCGAATAAAACAAACAACAACGAAAAACATATGAGAGAGAGAGAGAGTGGGAGAGAAGAAGAACAGGCGGAAGAGCAACGAGAGAGAGACAGAGAGAGAGAGAGAGCTCGTTGGTTTCTCTATCATTTTCGTTTCATGATCGTCTGTGCAATGGGCCTACCTCCAACCACTGTCGTATTTTTGCCTGAAAATAATTATAAATAATTATATTGAATGCAATGGAACGAAAAGTTGATTGATTGATTGTTGTCGGGGGAGCTGGTGGAACAAAATGAAAACGAAAACGAATAACAGTTGAAAAGAGGCACAGAGACAAACATCTGACATGGGAGTCATGGAAGCGCTTTTCCTTATAAATCAAATGGGATGAAATCCAAATTCCTAGGATTCCTTCCTATTTCCAGTTAGAGACTCACAGAAGAAGCAATAGTGTATAGTGCTTCTAGTAAACACAGTCTATAAAATTGGAGCTCGAGCTTCTATGCATAAATACGAGCGAACTAGTTCCAGCCATATATCTATGTAAGCTAGAAAACTTGAATTTATTCACTCTGCAACTCAAATTGTAAATTGTTCTAAATGAAATCAGTTTCGCCAAACTGAACTAGTTCAAATTGTAAACCTAAGAATACCATTCCGCCTCCATGGTTTGAATTGTTAGCCAAGTTATGGCGAGCTAGTTCCATAGATAATGAAGTTTGACTTCAAACTAGTTCGAATTGTCTGCGAATATTTGATAACTATTAGTTCCACAAAATGAACTAGTTCTAAATGTGGGCTATTAATTTCATAGTCGATTCTCTAAGTTTCAAACTAGTCAGCGTCATGAGCTAAAATGTATCAAACTAGTTCCACTAAATGAACTAGTTCCAATTGTGGGCTAATCATTTCATAGTCGATTCTCTGAGCTTCAAACTTGTCAGCATCGTGAGCTAAAATGTGTCAAACTAATTCCACAAAATGAACTAGTTGTAAATGTAGCCTAATAATTCCATTGCCGATTCTTTAAGCACCACACTAGTCCGAATCGTAATCAAAAATCTGGCAAATTAGTTCCACACAAGGAACTAGTTCTAAATGTGGGCTAATAATTTCATAGGCGATTCTCTGAACTTCAAACTCATCGGCACCGTGAGCTAAAATCTGTCAAACTAGTTCCACAAAATGAACTAGTTCAAAATGTGATCAATTAATTCCATAAATAATTCTCTAAGCTTGAAACTAGTCCGAATCGTACGCCAAAAGGTGTCAAACTAGTTCCACAAAATGAACTAGTTCCACAAAATGAACCAGTTCGATATGTGATCAACTAATTCCATATGTAATTCTCTGAGCTTTAAACTAGTCCGAATCGTACGCCAAAAGGTGACAAACTAGTTCCACAAAATGAATCAGTTCAGTTCAGACCAAACAAGTCCACCGAGATATTTAGGCTGCGACATGCCATTGATAAACTTGCTCAATGACTTTGACCTGATTTCCATCCAGTCAGCTGTGATTCGATTCCACTGTGCACCTGCCCGAGTCCAAAATACCAGATGGATCTGACGTCATGCGACATGAATCACGAGTCCAAGCGCACCGTGAATACTGACTTAAGCTAGCTGATAACTCATATACACACCCACACACACACACACACATACACTGCAATCAATCAATCGTATCTTGGGTACGTTGTGAAATCATAAAACAAAGACAAAAAAGAAACGAAACGAAAATGAAACTTTGAAACGAATTTAAGATTAGGAATTCGGGAACGCATTGTGGGCAATTCAACTCACTCATCGGGCTTGGGATGATGCCGCACAATGTGAATGATGCGACCGGGCGGATATAAGGGCTGGTGCAGAGTTAAAGCTATTGAGCTGTCCGTCGGATGGGCGCTGGTCGAGCGAGCTGTGTCGCGCTCCTACAGAGAGAGAGAGAGAGAGAGAGAGAGACTGAGAGTGAATAACAGAGAGAGGTAGAATGAATGTGACTTACCTCCTGGTATCGATTGATGTGCGTGTCCTGGCCGGACATGTTCACCACTGAGGTGGGCTCCGGGCCACAGCCACAGCAGATGACCGAGCACGAAATGGTCTTCCACTAGGCGAGAAGAATAAACATATATGTATGTAGATGCCAATATGGGGGGAATGGAGCTACGATCACATACCTTGGGATCGACGCTGCGCTGTATGGCATTGATGAGATCGGCGCGCAGTGCCTCCATTTGATTGAGACCGATGCGCGGCACCACATCCTTGCCGAGCACCACGGACGTTATGAACGATTTGGAGTACTCCACGGCCGGCATGCTGAGCAGTCCGCCGGGCGGCGAATAGCTAAAGCATTGCAGTGTCGGATGATCCGGCTTGAGCAGAATGGCCAATATGGCCGCAGTGCCAGCGCCCAGTGAGTGGCCCACCAGCACCAGATCGAAGGTGTGCGTCAAGCGATCCGCATTGCGTTGCAGGGCGCGCTCAATGAGATTCTCCTGCTGCAGCTTGTTTCGTATATAGATCGCCGCCTGCACCATGCCCTTGTGGCCCAGCCAATCGTCGCGCGGCGGCTGCAACGGCAGCACCTCGCCCTCAGCATTCAGATCGGTCAGAATGTCCTTCATGCTGAGCGTGCCACGGATGCTGATCACGATCTTCTTCTGCGTGTAGTCGACGGCCACAAAGAACGGCGTCTCGCCCACGTCCACATGGTACGTGGCATAGACGATATCGATGTCGCCCAGCTGCAGGGTCTTCTTCAGGGCTGCATAGTTGCAGTAGCAGCAGTTGTCCTGGATCACCTGACTGTCATCCCCGCTGCCGCAACAGCAGCCAAAGCATCTGCAAAGAAAAAAAAAACAGAACGCATACGCATTTAGTATGACTTATGGCATTACTGTATTATCTCCCCTCAGGCCTGACCTATGCGAACTACAGATCTATAAGTGTTCCAGGCACATATTTTGTGTTTACTTTGCGGGAACTATAAGCAAAACACATCTGCTCTGATTACCAGAGATAGTGCGAGATGTATGAATCATACTTAAGGTCATGAGAATCACATAGAAAGGCGCATTTACGGAGAGAGAGAGAGAGAGAGAGAGAGGAACGAGCCAGCGAGTGAAATAATTATATACATTTATGAATGGAAAAATACAGAGAGAGAGAGAGAGAGAGAGAGAGAGAGATGGAGAGAGTGAGAGAGAGGAAGAGAGCGAGAGAGGGAGAGAGATGGAGAGAGTGAGAGAGAGGAAGAGAGCGAGAGAGGGAGATAAATGGAAAGGGGGAGATAAAAAGAAAGAGAAAAGGGAGAGAGACATGACGACAGATAGAGAAAGAGGGACAGACATAGCTATAGAGAGGAATAGAGGTAGAGAGTCTTAGCGATAAAGAGATATATATATATATAGCGATAGAGAGAGATAGAGATATATATATAGCGTAAGAGAGAGACATGGCGAGAAAGAGGGAGAGAGACATAGCGAGAGAGAAAGAGATACCTATATACAGCGAGAGAGAGAGAGAGAGAGAAAGGTATCGCAATCAAGAGAGAGCGGGAGGATATATATACATATATATATAATGTGATAGAGAGAGATAGAGATATATATAACGTAAGAGAGATACATGGCGACAAAGAGCGAGAGAGAGAGAGAGAGAGAGAGGTATCGCAAGCAAGAGAGAGTAGGAGGAAGAAGAGAAGAAGAGAATAAGACAGAGACATGGAGATGTAGGAGAAGGCACTTTTCTTATTCACCCAGCGCTCTATTCGTCTTTGCCCCTCTTGAGCGCTGTCTGATTCAGAGACATAAAGTGGAACCGTAAATCCTTTACAAACTGCGCTACAAATGGATCGATGATACGTACATATGTATATGGTATTAAAGTGGGGCGTCTGCCCTGGTTGATTATGCATGCATGATGGCTATACTACGAATAGGGCAATTGCTGCCATATGTCCACACTACACTCACTTGAGCTCGGGCACCAGATGCCACATTTTGCTGCGGTTGATGATGACGTACATGGGCCAGCCGTAGGCGCCCTGGGCGAAGTACATGTAGTGTATGACCGTTTGAAAGAAATCATAGTTTTTGGCATCGTTGAGTGCTAGGAACTGCGTGTGCTCCGTGATGGGCACGCCGCTGAGGAACTCGTATGTCCCATTCTTGCGCTGCCTGACAATGGCCTCGCGCTCGAGGCGCTGGAATTTACGCAACAGGACCAAGCCGGCGACTACATCCGATGGCACCACATCCAGTTCACGAAAGAAATCGCTCAGCAGTCGCGCAATGTCCGTGAACGAGTTCCGGTTGCGCTCCGACGAGCCCATGCAGCAGAACAGCAGACGACAGCGATGATCCCAACTGTCCTGATAGGCGCGCATCACTTTTCTGTAAAGATGAGCGAGAGAGAGGGAGAGAGAGAGAGAGAGAGAGAGAGAGAGAGAGAGAGATGTAGAGATGTAGATAGTTAGATAGATAGATAGATAGATAGATAGATAGAGATAGATGTAGATGTAGATTTAGATGTAGATGTAGATGTAGATGTAGATGTAGATGTAGATGTAGATGTAGATGTA